ATGTTGAACGCTTACATACTATACAAGGAAAAGAAAGGCATAACTCTTGAGTTCACTGATTTTCGTCTGCAAGTAATTCGACAGATTTTCGATAAATATGGTACTCAACGGGATCCAAGGAGAGGCCGACCATCTGCTAACAAGCCATTGTGACTGACGGCTCGTCATTTCCCATCTCTAACTGGCGGAGGATCACGAAGATGTATTGTGTCTGCAGCACGACTGTGAATGGTCGTGTTTGTTTTGATGGAAAATATTCTGAAGATATAGTTATAGAAAATTTATTACGACCAAATTATATTGTTTAGAATCTTAATCTTAATTATGTTTTTTCGACTAATACAGATTTACAAAAAGTAAATCGAAAATATTTTATTATATATTTTAATAAATATTTTGTTTTTCTCTTAGATATCATATCATTGTATAGATTGAGATGATACAAAAGTTCTTGATGTTACAGTAAATCATCCACGTAGTTTGGATTTTCTTACTCATTTTAATTCTCCAACATCACCAAGAGGAATAATTAATGAAAATGATGATATAACATCTATACATTATTCATTAGTTTTTTGTTGATAATGAATTAAAAGGTGTTTATAAAAAAATGGTTTCATCATAATTTAAATCTTGTTAATGATATTATATCAGTGCAAACAAATCAAGATGATCCAAGACAACGTTCGAGCTTTTCCACGTTATCAAGGTAAAGAAGAATTGATTTTTGTTTTGTTTAAATTCAAATATATTTATCTTTAAATGTATATTGTTATTATGGTTGATATTGTGAACATAACTTTGTTTTAAAATTGGTTCGAATAATCAACGTATACCAACAATGTGATTGTGTTATTGGATATAAATAAAATAGTGATGGACGAACATGTTCATCCAAAACTCAACAATGGATTATTTATAGTACATATTCATTATTACGAGCATTTGATCATCGTTCAAATGAATGAAAATGAGAAGATGCTATGCCATTGATTAGTGGCAACAATTAAAATTTATAGTTTATCTATTTTTTCAATGTATAAATATTCGTTCTGTTTTGTTTTTTTTTGTTGTTTATGTAGTTATATGGAAATGCTTTCTGCTCGATATTTTAATCGTGAATTATATTGGATAAATCAATATCGTTTAATTCGTCAAAATATATTTGGACAAATAATCGTACATGGAATGTAATAAATTATTTACAAAATAAGTGTTGGATCTGAATAAAATTTTATTCTTGGTCTTATACTTAATTCGATAACTGGAAATTTATATTTTTCTTATGTATCAAATTCATATGGACATTTCGAAGTTAATCGTCTTGGTACAGATCATCGTTTAATATTACGTAAAGGTAAAAATGAAACAATTTATACTATTGATGTTAATTCAAAACTAAGATAAAATTCTTAACAAAAAAAATTGATTTTATTTAATTATTTTATTTTAGATATGTTTATTGGTGTGATTGTGGACCTCATGTACGTATAAGTTGTTTATTTCTTAATGGTGAAAATGTAACTTATCGTTGTTACAATAGAAATTATTCGACCAGAATCAATAATCATTGATTTTCTTACTTAGAATATTTACCCTAGAGAAAGTACTGAGTTCAGGGTACCCATGTACTGAGAAAGCTCTAGCAGGGTACCCAATATGGGTACTTTGAAAATTTTCAGTAATTTTACTGATGTATGTACTGTTTGGGGTACCCGTAAAAGTACATTCACTGAATAAGTACCTGCATGGATACACAAGTCTGTAACTTTACTGAGGAAATCTCGACAGGGTATCCTAAATTTTTCGCGTTCTGTGTGGCGACTATTCATTCACCGTTTTCTTTTTTACGAACGGCTCTATATAAACAACTCGATCAATCATAAGAAAATAATCAATTTTCATACTAGTTTTTTCTAAATTATTTCTTGACTATTTCTTAGTCGAGGAAATGCCGAGCTTGGTCGTAAATTAAGATCGGACTACCCTGAAGTGGTCTACGACCAACTCAAGTTGAGTCGGATCCCGACATTGTTCCTGCTAAGTTTTTGGAATTGAAAAAATTAAATTGAATAAATTAAAAAAAATCTAGTAAATTATCTCAAGAAAAACAAAAAAAAATTTTTAAAAGTCAAAGATCAGGTTCGATCCTGAACATACTGAAAATTTGGTAACAGGGTACTTAGAAATACTATACAATGGTACCCAATTCAGTACTTGATCAGTACCTTTAGGTACCCAATTACTGTGCATTTTCCAGCAGGGTACTTGCCAAAGTACCACTTAGGTACCTATAAGTACCTGCAAGTACTTTGGTACCCAAAAGTTCCTGTGACATACTGGTATCAGGGTACTTTTTTGGGTACCCTTAACTCAGTATATTCTCTAGGGTATTGGTCAGATTCAAGACGTGATACAACTGAAGTTATATCATGGGATGGAAAAAATCGTTGTACTGTTATATTAACGATATATAAATAGAAATACATTTTTGTCCTAATATGCGTCATGAATATTATTTTCAAATAATATTTTAATAGAAAATGAAAATATGTGCGTCAATCAATATTTCTTTCTTTTTTTATGCACTTATCATTTGCTGATATTTCTATATTAAACTATTGGCTAAATAATCATTTATCGACATCATCACGATTCCTTCAAGTTAATAGAATTTCTGCACGATTGTTTACTTTATTAAAATAATACACGAATCATCATCCTGACCATTATAATATGAAATATATCAATAAAAATTTGTCATATTTCTGTCAGTAAAAGAAGATATTTGTTTTTGCTTATCTAGTTTATTTTATGATGATTCAGCAATTTGTATTTATCAAATACGTCACAAAGTTTACATAAGTTATTATACAATGTTCTCATTGGACTATTGAGAAAAATAGAAGAAAAAAACATTGGTTCGTGTCATGGACGGACGAGCATTGCTGGTTTGCTTTCTCTCTCTAATATATATATATATATAGTCTTTCATTGATGTGTCACACAAACATTAACAGTGAACATTGCTATGACTGTGACCAGATTAGAGCATCTTCCAAATGAACTGTGGTTCGAACTTTTCATCTATTTCACATGGTCGGAACTGGAATCAAGTTGGATTCATTGGAAACTCAATAATCGCATTCAAATATTAGCTGAAATAGCACAAAATCGAGTTGCTTTGTCACTCTTGTCGATGTCGTTTACAACATACGATCAATGTTTACATTATTTCGAACATGAACATCCAATTAAAGCTTGTCGTATAACTTCTCTTTTGCTCAATGAATCTATTGTATCGAATGAAATTATTAATCGATGGCTTGAAAATGAAAAATCTTTTCTTCCACGTATTCGAAAATGTACAATCTATATAGATCTGATCAATAGATATGTTCGAACAAATATTATTCTACTTATTGGTCGACATACATTGACCATACGTCATATTGTATTTTATTTTAACGGACTCCGCAGATATAGTGTGATATTGAAATACTTCATCGAACAATGCATATCTGTACATACAATGGAATTTATCGTTATTAAAGGTAATTTTTGTGATGAATGGATATAAAATCTAAGTGTTTACTATATTTGCATTTCATCCGTTTTCAAATAGATAATATTATATCACATCGTCTTAAGTAGAATCGATATCCTAAGTTATAAAGACTTGATTTAAGATAAAGCTTTGAAAATCGCAAATATTTACATTATTATCAAATATTTGTAAGTAAATTGAATTTAACTTGAGATTCTTAGATCAACAAAGTATTTAATAGAAACATTATAAGAATGACTGTTTGAGAACAGAAAGAAAATTAAATAGAAAGTTTTTCGAACGAAATTTAATCAAGAAGTAAATCCATCTATCAAGTATATGATATGCATGAATAGTTGTGCGACTTTTTTTACGAATTTCGACTAAGTCTATGTTTTGGTTTGTCTAAGTATTAAGAGTATAAAATATGAAGTGCAAAATGAAATGTTCACATGAATATACGTGCCATTTACAGTTGATCTTGATTTGATTCTAGATGATATGAATTACTCATGGTCGAGTTCTTTAAAGGAGGATGCCACTTGTCGTGATCAATTTCTTTCATTTCCAAACACAGTTAATTTACGACTCTCATTACAGCATATATCTGATTTGGCATTGTTACTACAATACGATACTTTACCATGTATAAAACATCTTCATGTTACATTGGAAAAGACAGTAAAAAATATGCATCAATTGTACAATCGATATGAAAATCCGTCTTGTCCCATATTATGTTTGAAAGATCTCAATCTCAGTCAAACTAGTTTACCACATTTACGTTCACTACAGTTACGACAAGTGCCCATTAGAAATGTCATCATACTAATGAAACATTTGAGGGCTACGAATCAAATTGAATCATTGATTTTGGTGAATTGTAATGTTGAAGGTATGTTTTACTGTTGATGGAATAGCTGGATTGTCAAGAAGAGCTATGATTGATAAAATTGCTATTTGTTTTTATATATAGATAAGAACGAACTTATTATATTTAAAGACTGCACTAAAACTATTATGATTCATTTGCATCGTCTTCATTTTATACTCTATTTACCTGTTCAGACAAGACTTGATGATATTGATCTTTATTGGTTTAACTTAGATCATCATACTGTTGAGTACGAAATAAATGAAGTGATATTTCTTTATACAATTCCATATTTATTAAATAGTCAACGACGAGTGTATAATAATAGTGTTGCACAACAATCGACAATTAATAATAATATCACACATATTGAATGGATCATTGATCATGATCTTTTATCCATTGCCAAAACTCTTCTTCATTTCGAGCATGTTAAATCACTTCATTTGCTTTTTAATATGACAGTAAATATTCAATATGAATTTATCCAGATTTTATATCGAAATATTTCGTTTAGGAAATGAAATTAAATCCAGATTCTTGGCATATGATACTTCCATTTTTACGTTCTCTTCGAGTTAATTTTCAACGGAATCCTATGCAAACAAGGAAATTGTATAATCAATCTGTCACACCGAATCTCTATCGTTATATTCTTCTTGAACAATTTCGTCAATGTGCTACTGCACTTGAGTCTTTGACGCTATACTGGTCTGACATTCGACTTCTTCTTAAACATTCTTCTTCACCTTGGTCATTCGTTCGACAGCTAAATATTCTTTTGGACATAGACGAAAATATTCCATCTTCATATTTGACTAAACGATTACCAACAAACGAAGCTTTTCCTCAATTACAATATCTTTCATTTGGTGGTCGTCGTTTTTCACTCACACCACCGAAAAAACTCGCGAATCGAATCCTCTTATGTTTCGATAGTCTCGTATCTTCATCGAAATTCATCATCTTACATGCGAATCGATGCTGTGGTATTTATCGAAGTGTACCTTCAACGTCTCGTGACATACTTATGACACTTCTTACAGAATGTGTTCGTTCGAGAAATCTTCTCTATTCATCGTCTAAAATCATTATTGATTCCAATGAAGAGATTATCATTTGGCTTTGAAAGAGACTTTTAATCAAACAGTAGATATGCAAAAACAAATATTTAAGAATTTTCTGCTAAAAGAAAAGATATGAACATGAAATGCTTTTGTAATATTTTTTTCATAGAATTTCGTATATATAACAAATTGAATAATGTTTTAGTTATCATTTCTCTTCTTAGCTATCAATATCAGTTAAAAAACTTTTTAGTGATCATGTGAAATTCTTCTTTCGGATATCCTATACGTTATGCCTATATGTATAGACTGAAACAACAACAACGTGAGAAGGATGAGTGTATTGCATGAGTTGCCTAATTAGAATTCGATTCAAATGTAAATACACAACGAATTGTCATACATTACTTAGAAAATAAAAAAATATAATCAGACCAACTGCTAAATTGCTGTGGGAAGAAAAATATTAAGTTTTAGCACTAAAATGCTTTCAAATATCTTTTTTACAATCTTGCTCGTTGAATACAACTACAGTTATTTAATTGAGAAGAAATGTTTAGATTCATTTTATTTATTATATTTTTCACTAATTTTGCTCGCTGAATATCAGTAATAATTATTTAATAAAGAGATGCTCACAATTTATTTTTTTTATACATTTTATACAATTTATTTAAATTATAAAACTTAATCTTGATCTTTTTCTATAATTTACAGAGCTGACCCTATCCACTTATATAATTTCTAAAAACTTAAAGTTTAGTGGCTTCTGTGGCTAGTATGGAGTTGTAGGTATTTAAAATCGCGTTTATTTTATAAGTCGAATTAGTCAGCTACTCGTGTATTGTGAAGAAGTATTATACTTCACCATAAAGATGAGCAGTTAGTTGTTTATATACAGTCGTGAAAATGATGTGGTCGACTTGAATTTCAAGCTACGTGCAGAAAAACAACATCCCAATTAATTTACAATACCTTCCGTTAGACGAAATTCAAAACTATTTAAAGAAAAGATTCATTGTTAGTATTGATCTCGATTCTTAATTAGTTTAAGTTAACCGATATTAATATGATTGACACAAAACCTCAAGTCAATCTTTGTTCTTTTTTTCAAATTACAAAATAATTGTAGAAAAGTTTGTTTATCATTTAAACGTAACAAGTTTGAAATACGATTCTCAGTTTTAACTTATCGATATCTATTCTAGTTGATCATCATCATTATTCATTAATAATCTGATCATACAAATCGATGATCCATCAAGTTTCGATGAGTGAAACAAACTATCTAAAGTCCTAGACATATTAGAAGAAACCCATATTAAAAGGCCTTTCTCGAGTAAATGATACAAAAGACACATTAGAAGATCTTCCCTCTCCTCATTGCTTTTGCACGTATAGCAGCCGATTTTTTAACTCTTCTCTTAGATAAATACTTTTCTCTTACACGTATTTTCTGATGCTTTAATTAAAGAGTGTTTTTCTGTTTGCTTTGACAGTAAAACAGTCCGTACTTGTAATATATTTGTCTATTCTTTATAACGTTAATAATAATATACATTTGAACAATATTTTTCTCGTCTTCTTGACATTCAAATCCTCTCCTTCCTGAATAAAATCATATGTAATTAATAGGTATATGTATACGACGTATCGAACCTTTTTTTTCTAACTGCTTGAGTGAAATCATATTTTTTTAAAGATTTTTTTGTCCTGTGAAAAATGATGATCGAATGAACTCACTAACTAACGTAAGTATTGTTTGTACCATTTAGCATGGTCCAAGAACAAAAATATCTTTATTTTCTTCTCTGAAATGTTCTTTTAGAATTAAAATAGGAACTTCTTTTTGTTTATGATGCTAACGTATAATAAATGGAATAAACATTGGATAATAAAGTAATATGTTCAAAAAAAGCTCATGAAAATATTGTTATCAATATGCAAGAATATGATTTTTTTTAAGGACATAATAGAAGACCTCTTATAACTTATGAGTGAAAGACACAACAGAAGACTCGGGTCTTGTAATGTGTTGATACTTTTATTTTATTTTTAGTATTAAGCTATGTAAATTTTCATGTACCCTTGTCATATCATAAATGACTGTAGATCGACTAAAGAATTATTCATTTAGCATTGATTGATATGTGATTGATAGAAATAACATAGTTGCTTTATTTAATCTTTTCAATCGATTTGATCGATAAGGGTACATGTCGTAAAGTTAACAGTGCATTTTGGTAATAGATTTCATATAAATTCATCATATAGTCGATCGTCATTATTAGCAATAAAATGGAAGTCGAAAATAGAAATTAGTTATTTCTAAAATATTTTTCTCGTGTAATCATTGGTCATGATTTACATGTACAAACAAAGAAACGAAAACTTCCTCAATTATGTTCATAGTTTATATAACGTTTTATGAAGTTTTCATATTGATCATATAGTTTTTAGGAGTTTGTCTATGTGGAATACTGATGGAATATAGGGTGTGGGTGGGTGTGGGTGTGGGTGTGGGCGTCGATGTGGGTGTGAGCGTGGGTGTGGGCGTCGATGTGGGTGTGAGTGTGGGTGGGTGCGGGTGTGGAGTGTGCGTGTGAGTGTGGGCGTGGCTATGATTGACACGTCACTCACACCCACACCCACACTCATATCCACACCCACCCAAAGTCACCCAGACCCACTCACATCCACCCCACACTCACACCCTTTTCTCGCCTGATTCCATTTAAAACTGTGCTTACGATGAACATATTCCGTTTCTTAGAAAGAAAAAAAACACTTATTGCTCTTTATTTCGATGAATTTTCACATAAAGGCATTCATATTCTTCGTTTTTCTCTCTTCTTGGCCATCAACACACATTGATCACAACTGATTGAAACCTATAGATGTAAACGATAAAGTAAATAAAGACCTATACTCATATTTAACCCCAACTGTCAATATTACATACAGAAATCTTTATGAATTAGATCCCATTATCAATGAATGAAATTGCTATGACATTCTTTACAGATATCGAAAAAATCTTTGGCATGAAATGAAGCTTAACTATTTCTTTGACGAAAAGTATTTGTCCGCAGAATTTGCTTTAAATTTCCATTTATTACGGAAGGTCGAGTAACATTAAATGTGTACATATGTTTCAAAAAGACTTTTTGTGTTTAAATCTTCGAATCAAAAGTTTTTATGTCGAAGTATTTATGCATGGGTGCGGGTGTGAGGATGGGTGTGGTTCTTCTCTTTTCGCACCCACACTCACATCCACACTCACACCCACCCACACTCACACCCCACACCCACATCCACACCCATACCCACAGCCACTTACGCACATCTACACCCGTATTTGTATTGCTTCTTAATTGCGCCGTAAGTGTGACTCCACTGTAAATGCAATTTGAGTCAGAATTGCGATTCGAATCACCACACTGCGCACAGCATAGCAGGACGAGAAAAACTGGGTTGCAAATGTGCACAATTGCGACGCAATGAGTTAATGAAGTGTTATATGGGACTCTTGACAGCATGAATAAAAATGAGGCGATGTTGTATAATGATGTTTACCATGAGAAATACTTCCTTTTTTCCCTACGTTGCTGAATGATTTAAATGTCTCAATAATCAATCGTATAAATAGTCGAAAAAACTCCGAATGCAATCAGACAAACGCAAATGACGTCGAAAGTATTGATTACCTGTGTACTATTGCTTATTTCACTCATGGTGAATGCTGACATCGATGATCGATGTCTGTCGTGCATTTGTCATGTTGAATCTGACTGCAGACCACTCCCATGCCGAATGGATAATGGTTCAAGATCATGTGGTTACTATCAATTAAAAGATGCCTATTGGACAGATTGTGGCTCACCAGGAGGATCTCTGGAAGCATGTGCGGCAGACAGGAGTTGCTCTGAAAGATGTGTACGTGCGTACATGAACCGCTATGGCAGCTACTGTACACGTGGTGTTACACCTACTTGTCAAGATTATGCTCGAATCCATAATGGCGGGCCCAACGGGTGTCGATATTCAAGCACAATCGGCTACTGGAACAAGGTTTCCGACTGTTATTCCGATTGAGAAATAATCTGTTTTTCAGAAAATTAAAATAAAGTTACTTATTTCCATCTGGATGTGAACTCGATGACTTTGAGCTATTAGGTATGGGTGTGAGTGTGGGTGTGGGTGCGGGTGTGTGGTGGGTGTGGGTGCGGGTGTGTGGTGGGTGTGGGTGCGGGTGTGTGGTGGGTGTGGGTGCGGGTGTGTGGTGGGTGTGGGTGTGGGTGTGGTTATGGGTGTGGGTGTGGGTGTGGTTATGGGTGTGGGTGTGGGTGTGGATGTATGTAGCCTATGCCCACACCTGCAGTCACGCCCACACCCACAGCCTCATAACTTATGAATACGTACTGGGATGTATTGAATTGAAGGTGACAAAGAGTTTTCATAAACGAGCAACTATTATCCATTTCAAAAAAAAAGACACTTGGGCAGAATTTTTATAACTCTTGATAGAACGATGATAGAGACCTGTAATTTTCACGTTTAATAGAACTAGTCAGGGCACGTTTTACTATGAAACAACCAAGTCTTTAAGTAAAGTCTGTCATAAGGAACCCATGAACAGAAACTTGTCCAATTCCCCGTTACCTGAATTTAAGTCCGATCGAAACTTTCAAATAGTGAAATAGATAGCCCATCTCGAGATCTACAAATCTAGGCCAACCCCAGATCTATATCTTTTATCGATCAAAAGTTATAGCTTTCTTTCGGAAGAGTATTAACTTCCATTTGGATGTAGGTAAAAATTAAAAGAACACTTGGGATATCGACTAATAGATATGCTCAATATCGAGACGTTGTTTATCGAGAATTTGAGAAGTGTTTTCCGCAAGATCTTCTTCAAAATACCTCACATTAGACTAGGATTGGTGATATGAATCTTCGTGAAAAATTGAAGTCAGCTATTTTTCGAAACTTTTTTGAGTTTCTTTTTCATTTGTCCACAGTTGCTTGTAAGGCTAACCAATATTCTTATGATCCTATTTGCACATGAATTTGAGTTCTTTGTGCTTGGCTTTCTATGTAAACGATGAGACGTTAAAAGAAAATATCATTCTTTACTCGGAAAACATTGAAGTATTGGGCAACATGATCACTCTTTCAAGAAAGCAAGACAAACTTTTTGTAATGATAAATTAAATAGTACAGTAAAAAATAGATCTTACTTTATATTCTTTCGGTGGTGCATTAGCTAAGGCTTGCTCTAATAGCTCTGCCTTTACCCAATCATCATCAAAATCGATTTTTCGATCTTTTAACCACTCCTGAATGTCCTTTTTCAGCCACGAACGATTCGGTGAAACAGATTCCGGTGTCAAAACGTTATGCCATGGTGCATTATCTACTACGATTGCAATTTTTACTTTATCTCCTACAGTAAAAGATGGAAGAGATCAAGGCATATGATAAATTCTATGTGTGTTCCTCACTCACCATGAAATATACGCAATTTCATACAAGCACTCGTTAGCCAATTGAGGAATCGATCATTATCCATTGTTTGATTTTCTGAGCAGACAAAAACATCTACCGAATCAAGATGATACCCTTGTGTACTAATTAACGCAGAAACTGCTAATCGTTTTCCTAGGAGAAAGTTACTCATGAGCAAAATCTTTCGGTGAAATCTATTAAACTGACCTCTCCCGTCATTTTGTCGAATACGGCCTTGATCTTCGAGAACCCAAACACTTCGTTTCATCTCTCCCAAATTAATCCACGATTCGTCATGGAAATAAATATGAGCATGAGAATTTCTTAGCTCATCCATCGTTCGAAAATAGCGAGCTCTGGCAGCTACAAACGCATTGGAGTCGAGTGGGATTTTCAGTCGACTTGTTCGTTGGTAAGTGAACCCAAGCTAAGTTTTAAAAAGATAATTTTTGCATCTCTAAGAAGTCTGGTGAAAACCTAATACTCACTTTTTTCATCTCACGCCACAGTGTGGTGATAGAGAGAGTAGGAAAATCATCGAAATCTTGATGAAGACGAGACAACAATCGTGAGGTTGTAGGATATATTTTTTCCTGTAGGAGTAAATGAAACTGACATCGAATCATATCTTTCGCGTATTCAGAGAGCATCAACATTGGACGACCAGAGTTATCTGAAGAGAAAATTTATATTTTCGTTTATATTGATTCGCACGATAAGACAGCGCTTACCCTTCTTTTGAGGAGAATACGGCCGAGGAATAGATGAATGGTTTTTCGCAGCAGCCAAAGAACCGGTACGAGATTGACGTCGATGTAATCGTTTGGGCTTCGAAAACCTTGAACGATCTTGTGATGCGGAGTCCAGTTTTGTTTGACTTCGAAGTTGACGTTTATTTTCGGCTAATTCCCTTTCTTCCTGTTGCTTCCGTTTTTGTTCCTCTTCAAGTTCTGTTTGTTGTTGCTGTATCAGCTCGTTCATTTCCTTTTTCAATCTTTTTACTGATGTTTCAGAAATATCTAACATCTTTGCAATTCGTTCAACTACGTTATACAATGGAATTATCGATCCTGTTTTCTCTTGTTCACAAAATCTTATGACTTTGAAGATTAATACTTTTTCTTGAGCGGTAAATTCATGACCTGTAGGCATGATGAACTAAGTTGTAATAAAAATAATGGTTAATAACAGAACTACCAAACAGGTTTGTCAACGTGAAACACAGTTGAAAGAACAGACTCAATATTGAGCATATCTATTAGTCGATATCCCAAGTGTTCTTTTAATTTTTACCTACATCCAAATGGAAGTTAATACTCTTCCGAAAGAAAGCTATAACTTTTGATCGATAAAAGATATAGATCTGGGGTTGGCCTAGATTTGTAGATCTCGAGATGGGCTATCTATTTCACTATTTGAAAGTTTCGATCGGACTTAAATTCAGGTAACGGGGAATTGGACAAGTTTCTGTTCATGGGTTCCTTATGACAGACTTTACTTAAAGACTTGGTTGTTTCATAGTAAAACGTGTCCTGACTAGTTCTATTAAACGTGAAAATTACAGGTCTCTATCATCGTTCTATCAAGAGTTATAAAAATTCTGCCCAAGTGTCTTTTTTTTTGAAATGGATAATAGTTTACGCGATTTGTCAACGATATTATCTGTGGTATTAGAAGTTCGTTCCTGCTCAATAGATTTGATACCTTGTTGTGCAAGCGCAAACATATCGTGGAAGGCCAGAGTAGACATTGTTACATAATCAGTTATATAGTAGACTAATGCTTTGGCGTCGTTACCACTCCAGATGAATTTAATGTCCATATTCGATCGGCACGCACTTAAAAACCATTCATTAAAGTTATTGATCCACGGATGTGATCGACGCATAGTTATCTGACCTGTTGTAAGGTCAATATTAGAAACATTCACTAGTGCGCGTGGCATGCCCATTCGACACCTTTTTGAACTATCATTTTTGCCTTTAGAATATTTATAGCAAGTTGCAGAATGCTTGTGAATATTGCAGGTTTCGACCAATTGAACTACATCTTTGCGAAACGTTTGATCGAAGTCTTCCGATGCAAGATTTGGTGTTGGGAGACATGGTGGTATAACTTCACTTGCTGTCGATCCAATTTCTCCTAAGATGAAGTGAGAATTATAATTAAAGATCTACTAAAAGCTTCAAAGCTCACCAATTAATGTTCTACTGTCGCTTGTCGTACTTGCTCCGTCGTTGGTTTCATCTTAAAAAAGAATATTGATATTCAAAAGTACAAAAAATAGAAGTCTCATAAATATATAGTAAGAATAAGTGATCGGAATGAAATATGTTTTGCATTAATGAAAATTTTAAAAATGTTCTGAAAGCTCAAGTTCAAGGTAAGGCAGCGATGCACTATTAGGGTGTAAAATAGGAGTCTGCATTTCCATGGAAACCGTTCCCGGTAGCGCCATAATCTATACTTCCTTCTATAGGTAGTGGCGCTACCGGGAACGGTTTCCATGGAAATGGAGACTCCTAGTGTAAAACAGCATCAAGTAGGCAAATGTAACAACTTCAAATGACAGATTCGAACAATGTTAAATATATTACCTCGAAACGAATCTAAGTCTTCTTTTATAATATCTTCTAAATATTTTAGTAAATTTTCACGAAAATCTTGATTTTGAATATTTTCTTTCAATTGTGCTGGAGTATATTCATGATTGAGCCAAATCAAGAGATGTAAATGGAGCTATCCTCTTCCTTGACTCTCTACAGTGCCGAAATACGCTTTTGCAGGACCAATTACACCGCCCAATAGTAGGCTTTTCAAAATGCTTTTTATTAAACAGTTGAAGAACTTTGCAGTTGCAACAGGGTGCGTGGCGACAATTTGAGCACGCTCATAACTTGTACACAGGACTTCTGGCAGAACGTTATCAAGATCGAGATCGACACCTCCAAAGTAAAGTGCCAATGGACTATGGATGTTGGCCGGATTGATTGTGAGGAAAAGGCTAGGAAGACCAAGATAAAAACATAAAGAATGAATTTTCGTACGAAGAGCTGATCGGGAATGAGCTGAACCCATGACGTGACCACCAATAATTTTGATGTGCTTCATCAACGTATTTATTCTCTCGTCAGTAACTTTTGAATAAGGCGCTTTTGAGATATTAATAAGGGCTGCTGCTACATCTTCAGAACTCAATGAGTTAAGAACTTGTGCAGATTGTTGAAACCACGATCTTGTTGTCCTTAATTGGGCATGGAAACATGCTGTTCGGCGTTGTAAAATATTGAAGACAACGAATATAAATGAATAGTGTTCTTCAAAGCGGCGATCTGCATACGAAAGAAGATATCTGAGATGCTCACGAAAATTGATTTGAATCTGTCGAGAACCATCCTCAAGCCCACCACATTCATATGGGAATAGGGTAGGAAAGATTTCTAATAAAAGATTTGGATTAGAATATTCATTGGCCGGTTTGTTGCCACGAGGAATTATGTATACAGTGTCTTGTTTAGAGTTTTGCTCGGTGTCTTTTCCGTGTGTTTTTTCTGGCACTTGTGCTTTGATTCGTTCTAAAAGATGTTCAGCAACTTCATCAGACGACACTTTGGTACTATTGACATCTAACACAGCACTATAACATAAACAATATTAGTACCAAAATATCAACATGTCTCTTTGTCTTACCTTGAGATTATAGGTATAGCTGTTGTATTGTTAAATTCAGATGCATTGGTCAACGGATCAGGAAGGTAACTTGCTCTTTCATTTTCAGCTGCTTCTACATTAGTAGAAACTTCCATGGTTGCCCATAAACACTCCGGTACATCATCTTCAGGTAATTTGCTGATTATTAATTGATTAATTGTAACATTACGAGATAGAGCATTATTCTGTCTAAGCCATTGAAGTGCTTCGAAAACTTTCTTTTTTCGAACGGTCAAAACATTTTTTAATTGGTTTCGTTGATGAGGACGACATCCAACAAAGATTATCTTTAGAGAATCACATAGATCATCTAAATCTAGTGGTAAGGTAGTAGCTATGTTAATAACATCTTGGGGAAAACTTATGCAATTCCTTCTTAAAGCTGACTGAGCTGTACTTGTCGAATGAAAAGACGAATGTAACTTGACAATGCAGCCATTGTGCCGCTAAAGAGCGATCAGTTTTTCCTCATGAATTGTTACTCCTTGTAGTTCTTCTGGGACATCTCCAGCCCATATTTTGTTGGCAGGCGAAAATTTCGGTACTTTTCCTTTTATTAGAGACGACCAACACTCCGAACAAATGTCGCAGTGTATCGAATATCGTTTTTTTCTCTGAACAGTTTTATGCAATCCTGCTTCATAAAAAACGATACCGTTTACATAAGTAAACTCCTGTTTATTCATTGTTGATTGAGCATGCGTATCTATAATTAAAAAAATTATTTACTGTATTAGTTTACGTACTAGCGAGACTAACCTGCTGCTCTTTCCTTCTGAATCAACGCCTTGGCAAGATCACCACTCATGTTAAGCTTATCATGTGACTGGAATTGGTACGTTTCATGCATTCCCGGAATTATGTCATAAAAATCGTTGGGTACTTTCAGTAATTCAATAGACGGTATTTTACTGAACGGTATATGGTAGAAATCACGTTTGTAGCAACGAACATTACAAATACCGCAAACACCTACTTGCAGAGAACTCATCGACATATGTTGAATAAAGTTCTTTAAACAGTTTTTCTTACGTTCAATATCAATAGGTTTTGGCCATTCAAAGTCGTTACTTTCTTGTTGGTGCTTGTCGCTTTATCGAAGCCACTTTCTCTGACGAGCAGATGCACGCTGTCATTCGAGTTCATCAGATGTATAAGTAGCTTGTCTTGTGGTACTTCTTTTGCAAGCTACCACACACTGTTCTTCAGCTTCTTTTGGTGATGCAGTAGCTCGTTTATTCATACTTCGTTCGGCAGCAAGTGTTCGTTGTAGCTGAATCTCTTTCGATGTAAAAGTAGCTCTCCATGCCACAAATTTTTCACGAGTTAGCTCTCGCTGGACTTCGATTTCTTGCAATGTTAAAGCAGTTCTTCTGGCTGCACTTCTGTCTCGAGTCATAGTACGTTCATGTTCAAGTTATTCTGATGTTAAAGCAGCTCTTCTAGCTGCAATTCTTTCTCCTGCAAGGGACCGCTCTAGTTTAGCTTGTTCTGATGTAAAGGCAGCTCTTCTGATAGCGCGTCTTTCGCTTGCAAATATCCGCTATCTTTCAGCTTCCTCTGGTGTAGCTTGAGCTAGTTTAAAAGCCATCCTTTGACAAGCTTGTAATCGTCTTTTGTCAATATTCGTGTTCTTCGCGCTCGTGTGAGTCTCACTTGCTTGTAGTATTCGTTTAGTTCGAGAAGTTGTTGCGGTTTCCTGGCTTACCATGTAATAGGTCGATGATGTTTGAAATTGTTGAATTTTATTATTCTCCATATTGAATTCAGGAATGCGAATTCGAGTTAGTACGTTATTCTTCGTTGTTGAATTAGTTGGCATCTGTAAGTGAAAATGTGTTTTATTTGTGTAAAAAGTTCTGTACTAAAACATTAAACTCACCAAGCGTGGCACAGTGGATTTCGGTTCAGTCAGGTTACTTTGATTCTGAGACTCACTCGATGGAAGTAAAAGTGGTGCGAAATTATTAGGTGTCCAATTACCAACATTACCTCTACATGCGTCCCTTTCACTTTGAATATGTCAGCAGGATGTATAAATTGTTTTAGATGAAATATTGGATTGAACATGTTGAAAACTACTATTCATGATGTCTAGATCGAGTCGACAATCAATTCTTGGATATATAATTCGTATATTGCATTGAAGGACATTACTCAAAGCCGCGATTTCATAAAGTTCCGAGAATGAAAAATGATAGGTGATATTTTTTATCACCTCATTAAGTGATCCAACAATATGTGCCAGGCGATTGCTGTAGATAGTTTCATTTTTTACGAATTTTATTACAGTTCGAACCAGAAAGATTGTATTAACAAAACTGGGCAGTAAAGTTGAAAGTATCTACCTCTCAGTTCGCAAGATATCAAGACTGTATTATGAGTTAAACATATGATAGAGTTATGGAGACAATTGCCATCTGCAATGACGTCAATCGGAATTATATTTTGAACGCCCAAAGATGTGTGCTGAAGATATGATTTAGCTTCTTGATCTACCTTATGAATAACTAGGTTGAAATGAGTAACGCGTGCAAATCGTATCGGTGTTAAAAGCCAGTCCATCTAAATTGCTGAGACCATATAAATCGAAACCTCTTTTGCGAAAACTTACGACCCTGATTTGTCCACAAATAGCCTTGATTCGATCATAATAGCCGTCAGCTGTGGATGCCTCGTCAAGTTCCATTAAAAGTATTTTAAATACTTTAAAATGATTTGTTTTGAGACAATTTAAGCAGCAAGAAGCTTTTGTCAATTTAGAACAAAAAGGGACACCGATAGGTGTGGATGTGGGTGTGGGCATGGGGTACGGTTGTAGGCTTGGGTGTTCATGTAGATGTCCTCGTCTCACAGCCACACGCACCCATCGCCACACATTCACACCCGAAATGAATTCTCTTCCTCAAGGCTGGGTTTTGTCCATACGTAAATCGAGCATACATATTTTAGATGAACAGTGTAGGTACTTCAAAAAAAAATTAGATGAAGGCGTTTCCGCTATGAAACGTTGGAAACCGAAACAGTTTGTATTAGATAGGGAGACCTTGAAAGAAAACGGCAAGCTTTACTTTTCGGCTATCCAAGTTTAAAATGAAAATGAGGTTTGCTCATTTTTCTGTCAACTAAAACGCGAACAACAGATGATTACCACTCAAAATTTGTCAGATAGTAAAGTCCTCATCGAAAATAAACCCGTCAAAAATACTGGTAATGATATTGAGAACGAGGAAATTGACTTTGAACTTGAAACATTAAACTAAGATTTTCAAGATATTGAAATTGCTCTGTAAGAGATCAAAATGCTAGCAAGCTTTAGTATGAATGCTAAAATGGCACTTGAATCATCTCTTTAAATGTATTGCCAGCTACAACCACTCCTCTGACATTAAAGAAAACCAAATAAAATATAAAACAGAACCAGGTTTACCGGATTAGGGCTAAGTCATTCTAAATAAACGGATGGGTACGGTTTTACCGAGTTATGCTCGCGTGAACATACCAATGGGCACGGATTTTCTGAATAATGACCATTGATAAAGAATTATATTGTTTGCATGAGTGCGGCTTTTCCAAGTACCCTTCATAGACAATAAAGGGACATGTGTTTTCCGAATAATGTCCCTCCTCTTCCGGCATCATGGGCTCTACGTGCCGAAGAGGAGAAGCACGGATAAGATTCCCCTTAAACGTGACCATCAATCCTGAGTCTTGTATAAAGTAAGTGTACAACTATTTAAACAATACTTTAACTTCCACTGAAGTAAAATTGAACGTTAATCGACTTATAAAGTGTTTTCAGCTCTTTTGCATAACATGATGCTAACCCATTTTACCTTCGTAAATTACGATAAATGATAATTCAACAGTTTATATAGACGATTTGCTTATTGAAATATATCGTACTTGTGTGAAAAATACTTTAGATGCATCATAGTCTTCTTAAACTTTTGTTCGTTTTTCAGAAAAAAATATTCAAAATAATTTTTTCTCCTAGACACTGTCCAATTGATCAACGTTGTAAGCCATTTTTGGACATCATTCGAAATCTTTTTTATTTTTTTTTATAACAATTTTGTCGAGAGAAAAAAGTCGTATAGCTTATAAAATATTCAGCGCAGGATCTCTTAAAATGACTAAACGGAAGCTGATACACTGTAATATATTGCTAAAAGATAGTCTCATTTTTCCACTAGAAAATAACGAGTTATAGATAGTATTTCATAGATAACTCTCGATTAGTCCATGGAAATCTAACATATTAAAAGATGATTTTGTTCAGCGTCGAAGCTGTATCTTTTCGTATATTACACGAAAAATTTCATAAAATTATTGTCATCTAAAAGAATCTTAACTTTCTATGCAGGATTTTTTAGTTTTCCTCAACTAAGACTCTTACCCTGTGATAGGTGCATTCGAGCTAACTTTCCAATGGCTCAACGAAATGCTCTAAAAGTTTGCATTTAGCGGTTTTAGATGATGCTGAACAAAATAAGAACATAAAAACAAAAATTCAAATTTTATCGAGTACTTCAATATCTACCACGATACTCGATCATCTCACGGACTCTCTCTTAAAAGCTTGGAGCCTCTTCATGGAAGAAGCAGTTTTGTCAAATACGATCTGAAAAGAATGTTGAACTCTTTAGAGGTAGACATATGGACTCACCTCCCTTTCCTCCCCACAGACCATGACAGACAAGGTCTGGAGTTTGTTTATCGTCTCTCTTTAAGTTAGGAAGTACTGATTTTGTCTTTTAAAACTCAATTACTAAGTTATCGTGTGTGTGACTATTGGTTCATGCATTCCAAGTTGAACCTGACGTTGCTTGCAAACGAAGCAAAACTGAGGTTTTGTTAATTATTCTTTTATCACAAACAAACAAAATATTACGCATTTTCGTCTAAAATGCAGTAGTATCATTCTTTACACTGCAGGAAACAGAACGCTCTTGTTGTATCTTACTCCGTTTTAAAAGCTTTCATATTGATGTTGAAGCTTTGTTTCATACACCTATTTTCAAAAATATCATTCATAGAACACATTAATCGATACATTCCCTGGAGAATTTGTTTGATTGCGGAACTTACGTACATTTTCAAAGAAAATAGTCAGTATAAATTTTAAGACCAAGATGTTCCAGTTCCCCTTCTCCTTCACCCCATGACAGACACATAGCAGCAGGAACAGAAGATTACTGGTGTAACCCCTCTTCTCCCACCCTCTCCCCACTCCCATTACAAACAGGCCATTATCACAGACCTCAGCAATTGCGCAGAATTCAGATCTTCTACAATTTTCTAGGGCACTCATAATTATTCGAAACGAAGACTATTTTTTAGTTTAGAAATAATGCATTATGATAACAACTCGGAAGCACATACGTAAGTTCCACATTTCAGCTCCAAAGGAGCTGCGTTGACAAGCTTTTGCACTTGTTTTCTTAGCATACTTTTTCGGTTATTTGTGAAAAGAAAAATACCACAACTGCTTTTTTTCATTTGAATTTTCGTTTCCTTTTCATGAAATTAAAGAAGACCATAAAAATCTTTATTGGGCTTAACCTTGAAAATAATAAAAATGTCTACAAAAAAATTGAAAATAAAATATTGTCTCTTTATCAGGCGCAAAGCCAGATTTAACTAAAAAATAAAGAGTAAATAATCCAAAAAAGATCAGATAGAATTCGTGCCAAAAAAATCGTAATCGTCTGAAACGATTTTTCCAGAAATTTGATGAACTATCGAATGCAGTTACCAAAGCCTACCGAAAGCAGTGGTCCCAAAGCATGTCTGCAATGAGTATTGTAGTTCAGTTCGGAGCTACCACTCTAATTAAGAACATGATCAAACTGGGAGTACACTCTAAAGCTAAGATACCAACTGAGGACAAAAATCGAACGCAACTGTTATAAAAATGAGTACTGCTCCATGAAAAGCTTTGGGATAGTACAGAACAATGAGTAATAACTGAGCAAGATGCTTCCCTTGATAGAGTGACTACTGAACAGAATCAGTCTGACAGATCTTGATACCAAGGTTGAAGTTGATAATGTAATTGATTCTATCGATTGAGAGTGTAAGTTGTGTCAGAAGCTGATTTCCCACCGAGATAGATAACAGAATGATGATTTGAATTACAACCTAAATAAAAATAACGACTAGAAAATGAATCTGAATCAAAGCAAGGATACTCACGATGATAGTGGCCGAGGCAAATGTCGAAAGTGACTCTCAAATTTCTTTGAGGGTCAGAAAGGATACCGAGGACTGGACCTCATCCAAATGTCGATTTTTGAGGAGGAATATGTGTTTGGACAAGAAATGCTTCCAAAAGTGGTAGTAGAAACCAATATCTTCTGTCATAGGCAGAAGGGACCATTGAGCTCGTTTTTAACAGGATCGATGATATAAATCAGCGTATTATTAGTTGTGAAGCCTGTATATTTTACGTATCCTGTGCAATGGTAGAAAGAAAAATAAAAATAAAATCGTGATATTATGCACATTTTTCCAACAATCGATTAACTTTCCCTCTTTATTATTCAAGCTGTCTCATCGATAAGTGATAGAACAAGCAAAAGAATAATAACATTTTTGTCGGAAAAAACCCAGTCTGTTTCATTAATATATGATCATACTTTATCCAACGTATACGGTTGAATGGACGCCAGCCAAACATTATTTCGATACACATATAAGCAAAGTATTACTTTCATTTTCTTTATTAAACAACATCGATACATTACCAAGGTATTATATTCGTTATTACAATATTCGTCAATATCGCTCTATTACAAGAAGCAGACGTAAGTCTTTTGATATTGCAGTCTCTCTCGTAAGTCCTTTTAGTCTATCGGTGTTCAGAAGACTTTTCTATCCTGAAATGATACCAGTAATTAAGTATAGTTTATGTGAGTTTTATACTGTGTCTAAATGTATGAAAAGAAGAAAATGAAAGTAAATATTGGTAATTTTTGCCAGTTTTATGGAAATAGTGAAGGAGCTAGTCACCTTTTCTTGTTAATGCAGACTGTTTGCAGCTATTCGTGCATTTAATGAAAAGGATAGCAATTAATAC